TGGCCATATTCTGTTCTCGTTTTGCCTCGCCACGACATTGCCGAGACGAAAAAGGTACGGGTGCATCTTCCCGCAGAGAATGGCAAGATGCATCCGTTACCATGAATGGCAACGATTGCATCTTACCAGTTTCTAGGGAATATGCATTCGTTCGTTTTTTTTCATTTTGACAGTGGTGCGGCGAGGCACTTTAGCTTTCACAATATAAATGTACATTGTCAGGCTTCAATCCCATCAGGCATACGTTCTTTCTGCATTTTCAATTTTCGATTTTCTGGCAGTGGATGATGCCATACCATCTTCCTCTAAATATAATTCATTATTGCTGCAACTAGACTGAAAGTTGCCCAAGTACACCTTTAATGACCGTACGTTCTATTCAGAGAAAGACGGTGGCGTCCTGCTTATAGCCGCATTCGTGGTCATTGAGCTAAGTTATAGCCGAATTCTCTGCAACTCTCATGTATCCCAAGTCCTAGGTCTCGCAGCGAAAGAGGGGAGGGGGGGGGGGGGGGGGGGGAAGGGGGGGGGGCCTTGAGATATATCAAAATGATCAAAGTGAATTCTGAGTGATTTAATTTTCTGGTCATGTGATTGTATAACAGTTCGCCAATGTACCAACTGAGCTAGGCCCGTTGGTTTCTTTTTGTCAATTTCTCATGATTGCGTTCTTTGTTCTTGGCCCCTTTTCTCCTGTCACAGTGTCGATCTGGGTTGGAGTCTCTATTGGCTTTTGCTCTGTTGGAGAGTTATTTCATTCCCACTGGTAGCAATGAAATAACCGGATGCATCTTCTTCTTTTTTTTTTTTTTGCATCCTGTATTTTACTATTTTGGGTCGTGCTCTTCCTAACATATACTTTTTTGCATCTTCTTTTTTCTTTTCCATCTTATATTTTGGGTCGTAGTATTCCTACATACTTTCACGACAGACTGCGCTTACCCGTCCTGCCTTCTATGGGGGGAGGAGAAAAGATCTTCGTTTTTTTTTTTGTTCCTTTCTTTTTCCCTTCAACAATTTTTTTTTTCTTCTTTTTTTTTTGCAAAGAATTCCGGTCCGACCCTGAGGCAAAAGTTGTTCAGTTCTCTGAATGGACAAGCTTTTTTTTCGTTTTTTTTTTAATTTTTTTGTTTTATTTTGGCGTAACTACGCGGGAGTCACAAAAACAGTTGGAAATGACAGTTCGGGCCAAAAACAAGTTTCAAATTGCACTTCGGGCACCGTACCTGACCGGAAGCTGGCTTGTATACATTGCCCGAAGTGCAATTTGAAACTTCTTTTGGGCTGGAAGTGTATTTTCAAACTATTTTT